GGGGAGCTGGTTGTGAGCGTGACGAAGGTGCCTGTGAGAGTGGTGATGACGATGATGGAGAAGGTGCTCTTGGGGGTGATGGGGCTGGGGGGTGAGGATGATGGGGGGTTCTGGGAGTGATAGTGATGAAGATGATGATGAAGGTGGAGGTGTTGGGGGAGTGATAGTGATGAAGATGATGATGAAGGTGGAGGTGTTGGGGGTGTTGGGAGTGATAGTGATGAAGATGAAGGTGGAGGTGTTGGGGGTGTTGGGAGTGATAGTGAGTAGGGTGATGATGAAAGTGGTGATGAAGGTGGAGGGTGATGGCGTTGAGGAGGGTGATGGAGGTGGGGGTGATAGTGATGAAGATGATGAGGTGGTGATGAAGGAGGGGGGTGATCAGTATTCAGCTCTGCCTTGCTTTGTCCCTTGCTCAGGTCAGAGGGCGGCAGGAGGCGGGGCTACATGGGTCACCTGACCAGGATCGCCAATCACGTGACCCAGAGCAGCGAGAAGGGCCCCAACCAGGGCGTGACCTGTGACATCATCCGAGGTACCGCCCACCCCCGTCCCCGGCACGGCGCCTCCTCGGGGCCGGCTGTCGCTGACCCCCTCGTGTCCCTCCCGCTGTCCCCAGGCCTCCCGGAGCCGGACAGGCAGCGCTGGGAGCAGTTCGTCTCCGGGCCCCTGGCGGAGATCAACAAGAGGAACACGGTGGAGCTGGTGAGGGGCGTGGGGGGGTCCGGGGGGACGGGAGGGCGTGGTTCCCGGGAACGCCAGGGCGTTGTGGACAAGCTGCTGAAACGGAGCGTTTGGGAGCGAGAGTGTCCGGACGCCCCCTGGTGCGCACACATTGTCACCATCATGAGCGTCATCTCCTTCATCACCATCGCCATCACAGTCAGCCCCTTCACAGTCAGCCCCTCCATCACCCCCGTCACAATCAGCTCCTTCATCACCATCACCCCCTTCACAATCAGCCCCTTCATCACCATCACCCCCTTCACAATCAGCTCCTTCATCACCCCCATCACAATCAGCCCCTTCATCACCATCACCCCCTTCACAACAGCCCCTTCATCACCATCACAATCAGCCACTTCATCACCATCACCCCCATCACAATCAGCTCCTTCATCACCCCCATCACAATCAGCTCCTTCATTACCATCACCCCCATCACAACAGCCCCTTCATCACCGTTACAATCAGCCCCTTCATCACCCCCAGCGCCACCTTCATCACCATCACAATCAGCCCTTCATCAGCCCCTTCATCATCACCATCACCATCAGCCCCAGGCGTCATCTCTCTTATTTTGGTTTCTTAACTTTGGCTACTTTTCATGTGGACATTTGTCATCGTCTTTTCTTCTGTAATCATGGTACGTTTCTATTGATATCGTCCCATCTTCATGTG